TAAATAAGTATTTATGTTCTTGTTTTGCTGTTTTTATTTCCATTAGTTAATAAATATTCTTTATACTCACGAGCTGAATAAAATGATTGGTGCGAATGTAATGATTTTAACGTATAATTATTTATGTTTTTGCTTTGTGAACTTGTTTTGCTGTTTTTATTTCCATTGATTAATAAATATCCTTTATACTCACGAGCTGAATAAAATGAATTTAAACATAATGGCAAATAAGTATTTATGTTCTTGTTTTGTGAACTTATTTTTCTGTTTTATTTCCATTAATTAATTAATGTTCTTTATACTCACGAGCTGAATAAAATGAATTTAACCGTAATGGTAAATAAGTATTTATGTTCTTGTTTTGTGAAATTGTTTTGCTGTTTTTATTTCCATTGATTAATAAATGTTCTTTATACTCACGAGCTGAATAAAATGAATTTAAACGTAATGGTAAATAAGTATTTATGTTCTTGTTTTGCGAACTTGTTTTGCTGTTTTTATTTCCATTGATTATGAATATTCTTTATACTTACGTGCTAAAATAACATATAATAAATATTTATGAACATTAATTGCTAATATAGATTAATGAATTCACTTTATACTCACCCCCTAATAATTAAAAAATCGGATAAGATTTCAAAATTTCAAATAAAGAATTTACAATACATTATAATAAAAAATTAAAAATTAACATACTTCTTGAACCATTCCCAAAATTTATCATTATTTTTTTCCACGCCAACTCCATAAAAGTAACAAATGGCAGTTTTCCAAATTCCCATAGAGTTACCTGCCTCAGCAGACTTCAGATAATATGTAAACGCCTTATGCTTATCAACTTCAACTCCGATTCCTAAATAATAACAATAACCAATTTGATACATTCCGTTAGAATCATTCATACCAGCCGACTTTTGATAGTATGTAAATGCCTCGTTTTCATCCTTTTTGATATCAATTCCATATTCGTAACAATATCCAAGCCTGCAAATTCCGTCTGGATCACTCATATCGGCCAATTTTTGACAACTAGCGAAATTTAGTTTAATGAAATTATCAATTAATTTGGTCAAATTTTCGATTGACATTTTGATTTATGAAAAAAAGAAATACATGATGCTGTAAAATTTATTACTTGCATTGGTTAAACAATATTGCCTAAATTATACCTGTACAGCGTTCAGAAATGGCATGTAGTACGTACGTTGTGAAAGGGTGAATTATGGCTCGAAATAATTTTTGGCGTAGCACCACCCAAAATTGGTTTTGCTTAATTTTCTATTTCTATTTTTATCTTTTATTCCTATTTTTGGTTGGGATTTCCATTTATAGCTAGTATACTTGACAAAATTGATTCGATTGATCAATAGATTCAATTAATTTTATTGAATCAATTCTTAGTCTGTAAAACTTTAGTATATAAGAGCCTTGAGCTCACCTTCAATAAAAATAACACAGAGTTGTATAACTCAATGGAGTTCGGCTCAATTAAAGAGTCTGTTAAGCATTTCGCTCTAATTACCCCCAATAAGTCAAATCCGAATACAGGATTAGTTGTTTAATCCTGTGATCCCGAATTAGAGCCTCGTGGCGTAGTCTAGAGCTCTATATGGTTCTAATAATTCGGACCAAGTCTTTCCATGCCTACTTTCGTGCCTCCAACATTAGGATTCGGAGAGTTTAGCTGCTATTGTGTTGATTTGGATTAGTTTAGTATTAGTTGATATCCGTGAGGGCCATATTTTGAGTCTCGGATCTAATTTGCTCTTCATAACGTACGGTGGAGGAAGATTAATACAATGAAGCTAAATTCATAGTACCGTATTTATCCGCCACGAGTACCCGGGGTATTTCCCTTGTTCGTTTTAGTACCCGGGGTACACATGTATGTGGGATATATTGTATAGATATGAATATGTTTTATTATGTTTCCCCGGATACAGAAGCATGACAATATCATACTTGGTATAAGTCATAAATTGGCTGTCAAAATCGTTATAGGGTACATTGCACGGGGTCTACATGTCGGATAAATACGGTAGCTTATTTTCAGCAACATGTATAGAATAATCACTATTAAGTATATATTATTCTCGACATATTTTTATATTCAAAAAGTTTGAGTTCTAGATCTTTCAGCTCTATTGAGATTGATAATTTAAGAAATTTTACTTCTAAAGTGCCACCATTAATGCTTCATCTATATTCTGGCTATATATACTAGGAACAAAGTGATGAAATAAAGAAGTGTATGGTATATAACTGTTTGAAGTGATATTTGTCCGCAAAATCTTAAGTTTGATTGGTCCACGTGACTTGTTCGTCAAATTTAACTACCCCGTAATAGGTGACCTATATCACGTGATAGAATTTTTTTTGCCATGGCTAGGGTACTAATAATTTAAGAATGATGTAGACCAATTCAAAATTGACCTAAATTTTGAAATGATGCAGCTACACTCTGCTCTTGGCATAATAAAATAAGAATCACAGAAAATTAATCATTACAATATGCAAAAATTCACAGCTCAAAATTATGCTTAAAAAATTTTCATATATATTATTTATTTTATGATAAATAATAAAGATAAGAAACTAATAATATAAAAAAATCTAATGCAAAAATAAACTTGCAAAAAACTAAATACATGACAAAATTAACAAAATTTGCCATGACAAAATAACCCCCGGATCTCTATTGACCATTTACACAGTGGCATATATTGGATAGCGGATTTAAAGTAAATTTGGAGCGAAAAAAGTGAATTCCTAGTGCAAAAAAGTAAACTAGGCAAATGTGAATATAAAAAAAAATAAACAATGAAATTATACAATGAAATTTTAAAATTCATTATACATATCGATAAAAAAAAATAATGCCAAAATTTGGATATAAAAAATAATAAAACAATGGTATAAACTAGTAGTAAAACAATGGTAAAAGTTGAATATAAAAAAGTAATAAAGTAGTAAAACAATGGTAAAAGCCGAATATAAAAAAGTAATAAAAGTAATAAATTTGAAAACTTCACTGTGTACAATGAAAAATAGGGACAAGTTAACTCTAAAATGAGTTACCCGAATAAAATTGATAGTTCGTTGGTTTGGACTAATCAAATTGAAACGTTACTATCAACTAAATGTAAACTAGGAAAAAATAAAAGAAAATATAGAATTAAAGAAGCGCAAATAATGTTAGAAAATGAATACAGTAAGACCTCTCTAAGTGTACGCCCTTGGAACCACACTTTAATAACGTGCATATAGAGAATAATATGAAAAGGTGCATTTATTTATAGAGGTCAAGTATATATTTGGACTAGCACTTGTGCGTGCATTTGGAAAGGGTGCTTATAGAGGGTGCACTTAGAGAAGTCTGACTGTATTAGTAAACAAACAATTTCATTGAAGGATACTAATATTAAGGAATCTGCGCAGATTTTTTCTACTGCAATTTGAATAGCTTTGAGCGCATTATAAAACAACAACTATCAAATTTATAGCGGAATGTCGGAACTAGTCAATGTTGATCAATGAATCGGGGGATACCAAAAAAAACGAAATAATAATGAGGTGAATTAAGCTGAGGTGAATTGAAAATTGTATTTGCGAAAAAAAACGAAAAAATAATGGCATAAATTGCTTGTTGAGATTTATCAAACTTTACAATGATGTCTATTAAGTCATTAAAAACTGCTTCGGCCTCTGGGCGTATGTGAGGATTAGAGTCCCAACACTTTTTGTAAAGTTGAATATATTGAAGTGGAGTGCCCTCAGGAGATACTTCTCTTTTCCCTAGAGACATATGAAGGATAATGCCTGTAATGCCATCTTTATCGTCACCAAATGATTAATATGGTGGTCGGCCACTTGAAATTTCCCAAAGAATTGCACCAAAACTAAAAATATCACATTTCTTATCGCATTTATGAGAATCATCAATGCATTGTGGGTCCTTATATCTTGGTTTTCCATAATCGCCTGAGTTTAGAGTAGTCTCGTTAATTCTCTTTGCTAGACCAAAGTCTGCAATCAACATCGTTCCTTTGTGAACTAGAATGTTTTCGGGGTGCTAAACAATAAAATCATTTTTATTATAAATTCTATCATATGTTTTATAAATGAAAAGAGACAAACAAATATCTAATACTTACGAGATCTTGATGAATGATTTTTTTTTGATGTAAAAATGCTATACCTTCAGATATTTCAAGAGCCATACGTAGTTTACATCCCACTTAAGTTTGAAAAATGAGCTATTATATATTCACGCAAACTCCCATTATTCGCGAATTGTATAACCATATGATAGGGCCCATTTGATGTTTCTATTATATATGAATTGTTATATTATAGTTAACAGAATCTGCGAATTCAATTATTATTACTAACCTTGAACAACCCCATAAAATCTAACGATATTCGGATGTTCACAGACTTCTCGTAAAATTTCGATCTGAAAATAAGTATCAATTAATTATAATGACATTAGTTTCGTCAGTTTACCAAATCAACACCAGTTTCACCATTAATTGTGAAAACTCTAGTTTTATTTCACTACCATTTTTAATATTAATGAAGTTATACTGTAGTTTAAGCCTAATGTTATGGGCGAAATTGGTTTTTCATTTCTGAAATATTTCGAATTTTTGATAAGTGATCCGAAATAAAAATCCTAAATTCCGAAATCAAAATATAAATCCGAAACTTCCATTTATCTGATTGGCTAGTCTATGAGGTCATTCATATCTACACATGATTGGACTTGTGCCAGAATTTGTGCCGGCATCTTGTGCATAGAAATTTGTGCCCATGTCTTTGCTAACGCCTAACACTTTTGTGCTATGTCTTTGCTAGTGCCTGGCACTTTTGTGCCCATACCTTTAATAGTGCCTAGTTTTTATGCCTTTTGTATATATATATATAGGCATGGCATAAGGCACTAGTACCCGGCCTGGTGCCAATGTGATTGGCATGGGTATTTGCAAAGCTCTACCTTACTATTTTCGCTTTGACAATTATGCTTAACGTGAGGTATGTATTTTGATCCTATTTTTATTGAGTAAAGAGCTAATAATTTACTAATAATCATTTTCTCCCTTATGGTAAAAACAAATCACGTCACTCTGGTTATACCGAAATCTGGATATAACGACATCATAGTAAAATCTTTCTATACCGACATTTTTTTCAAGAATTTAATATAAAATGCCGGTATAACTCACTGTACCGACACTTTGAGTTTTTTTTAATAATGTCTCAAAAATGTCGATATAACCAGAGTGACGTGTATTATTGGCTAGTTTATATTCATGTGTTTAATATAGTCTCGGAAGGATTGGGTTTGAATTTTGGGCAATTGCGGATTTTATCGGAAATTTCAGAAATTTAAATGTTAGGCAAATCTAATTTGCCCATATTTCGGACTCAGATTTGGCAAATACTTAGGTTTCGCCTACAACATTAGTTTAGGGTGTTTAAATTCCACGAATCCGCCATAGTATTGAAATCTTACCTCTCTATCAAATCTTTGAATAATCTTTTCATTCTTCTCATCTTTCTCCTCAATACTTGATTTTTTAAAAGCAAAGTCTAACCTTTTAATAGCTGTTTTATATACTGTCCCATATCCTCCTCTACCGACTTCTTTAGGTTCAGAAAATTTTTTATAATCATACAGCTTTATTTGTTTTTCATCAAGCCATTCTTTTGAATGCCTAGTCATATTCTACATGATAAACTGGGTAAAACTAATTAGATTTTTCAATATATTAGATTGTACTTCTATTTTAATTAAGTTTTGAAAAAAAGATATCGGTATGTAGGGGAGAGCATATCTGATATGATGCAGTTATTCGTCTTATATATGCCAACAGCGATATACATACGTACGTATGTAATTGTATATGGAATCTTCAATACCAATGCTGTGTAACTCCTCCTTTTTATGTTTCATAAAGATCAGATTTATGCGATACGGGGCGGTGCCGTTGGGTGTTCGATGCACTATGTAAATCAAATTTATGTATAGTCTATATGAATGTTTGAATAGACAATTTTTTTGTGTAACGATCATGATAATCTATAATAGTTTCTTTCAACCTGTAGGTCTTTCCATCATTTAGCATTCGCACCAATCACCAAACTGTTATCATCCATCATTCGCCACCAACCTGACTGTAGATCAAATCATCAACTAATCGCCTTTTTTTTTGATCAGCTCGATCAACATTAATAATTATTAGCTAAGATCATAGAATATTCCAATACAATTTTTCAGTCGATTTATCAACCTTTGTCATTTGTCAATAGCACTGCCACCTCTTTCAAAAACCTTAAATGTTTTTTTTTTCAACGTCTTAACGCAAAAATTTAATTATAAGATTATCTGGTTATAAAATCATGTGCTATCTGCAATTATGTTCAGAAGCAGTGTCTGAAATTGGGTTGCGGAATCTGCGGACCGCAACATATTTTTAAGTTTTGCAAATAAAACTTGATATGCATGTGCGGAATCCGCAGATAAATTTTTCAAATTTCCGCAAACTACCGCATATTATTTTCAAATTATATGTATTCCGCAAGTAAGATATTTAATTTACTTGCAATATTTTTTTTTATATAACGGTAGGCATACTTAATAAAGTTCTGTTTTTGTAGTCGGATTACAGTCATCCCCCCATACAATCACCTCCTATATAATCACAAACTCTATATAATCACATAATTTTGTACGGGCATTTTTTTGATATTAAAAATACCTTTATATAATCACAATCATAGTACTATCACTATCACATTTTTTAAAAAAGTTTTTTTGCCAATTTATTAATAAAATTACCTCTTTAAATCACAAATTAATAAAAAATTTTTTATTAAATTCTTTAGATTTGTGAAGATATCTTTAAATAAAATTTTTAAAAATCTAAACATCTAATAAATAAATAAAATTTTCTATTTTTACTCAAACTTTGGTGATGGATATCTCAATAACTATCAGTCCAAATCGGCTCAAATTTTTATCATAGATAGTGTTGATATTCTTATATTAAATATAAAAATTGTAGCCGATTTAATCTGGTAGCTCTTGGGTAATTACATGTATACTATAGTCAATTTTTTAAAAAAATTGACTATCGTATACAAACGTTACTTGCGAACTACTAAACAAATCGGCTGAAATTTTTATATTTAATATAAAAATATCACTACTATCTATAGTAAAAATTTGAGTCGATTTGGACTGATAATTATCAAGATATCCATCACCAAAGTTTGAGTAAAAATAACAAATTTTTTTATAATAAAGTTTTTTCTATTTTTTACTCACGATTTGACAATAGATATCTCAATAAATAGGAATTTGAATTAGCTCAAATTTTTATTATTGATAGTATTGATATTCTTATAAAAATATAAAAATTTTAGCCGATTTGATTAGGTAGTTCTCGAGTAATTGCTTGTATACTATAGTCAATTATTTTTAAAAAATTAACTATCGTATACAAATAATTACTCAAAAACTACTGGACCAAATCAGCTAAAAATTTTATATATAGTATAAGAATATGATCACTATCTATGATAAAAATTTAAGCTGATTTAGATCAATAGTTATCAAGATATCCATTGTCAACGTTTTGCAAACCTAGCAAAAATTTAATTATAAAAAAATTTGTTATTTTTGCTCAAAAACTAACAATGGATATCTCAATAACTATTGATCCAAATCGGCTTGAATTTTTACAATAGATAGTGTTAATATTCTTATACTATATAAAAATTTAGCTGATTTGGTCTAGTAGTTCTCGAGTAATCGTTTGTATACGATAGTCAATTTTTTAAAAAAAATTTACTATTGTATACAAATGATTACCAGACCAAATCGGCTGAAATTTTTATATTTAATAGAAGAATACATATACTATCTATCGTAAAAATTTGAAACAATTTAGATTATTAGTTATCAAGATATCTATAATCAAATTTTGAGTAAAAATAACAATTTTTTTTATTTAATGGACGTTTTAAAATTTATCAATAAAAAATAATATTTTACCTTTTTAAAATTATATTATATATATTATTGTATATTATGTGATTATATAGAGGGCATCTATTTAGTCATCCCTCTACATAATCACCCAAAAGTGTTAGACAAACTGGGTGATTATATGGGAGGAAGACTGTATATAGAATTTAAAAACTGTAAACCAATATACTAGATCAGTGTTGTTGTTAGACCGGGTCTAGTGAATATCGCTAGAACTGGAAGGATTACTAGAACTTACTGGATGAAACTGGAGAATTTAGATTCCAGCAGTAGATCCTTCTAGTCATCATTTTTTTACTACTGGATAGAAGCTCCAGTGAAATTTAATAAGTCAAAAAAGCATAAAGATAAAAAAATTTTTTTTTACTATGCAATATGACACAGATTTGTCACACATGAAGTTATTTTTGATATTTAAAAGTTTATTTAAACACAAACACATAATCTATTTAAGCAATCCTGTAATCAAAAAATCAGACTGAAAATATTATATGCAAACTAAGATTGTAATTGGATCGTTAAAATTCAATATCAATTAAATGATCGTATATTTAACTTTTTAATGAGATATAATTCTATACACAAGCCCAATTTGGTGGTTCATAGTCTCAAAAATCACAGAACTGCCAAATTTTTGAGCCTTTGCTACATTATATTGAGAGAGACATGTATACCTATTTTTGCAAATTTAAATATTTGTTGCAATATTGATATTAGGGTGATTCATAATTAATTTATTTCGAAAATAAGTAGGTCCTACTTCTATTTTAAAATTTTGAAAGCAGAAAATGAAATAGGAGTTATTCAGAGATGAATAAGATCCTTTTTTTTTTGATATTGTTATTATATAATAAATTAATAAAAAATACAAATTAACACTTAGTGTTTTTATAATACTATTATGCCTTTAATATGTAATTGTCGAAATATATATAAATAAGCTTATAAATCAAAATAAATAAGATTTATGAATAACTAATTTCAAAATAATTATATCACTATTTTAATTTGAAATCAAAAACCTGAACCTTAGTTCTGAATCACCCTATTAAATGATTTCTCATATAATTATTTACTTCAAGCCCTAAATAGAGACTATTTTACATTATTTTACTTAACCCAATTTAGGGGTTTGAAATGAAATGAGCAACATTTTGAATTCAAAGCAAGAACAAGTGACTTTGTTCACATTGCTAATTGACTAGCAAACCTTTTCAAAATGAGCGATATTGAAATTATATTTTGTATAATTTTACTTGCTTTAATTTTAATAGTAGTTAAATAAAAAATTTGTAGTGAATATAGATATAAGTAACGGGTGTTTGCTTACTAGTAGAATTCTCTATTTTCAAGCTACATGTAATAGCAAAATGAAAAGTATCTTGCAACTGATTAGATATCAGGCGTATTACATGTTTATAATAACCTTAATTCTTATTCATGTATTATATCAGTTTCGGTGAAATAATCTCTTCCAATAAAAACTTTATTAGAATCACTGGAATGCTGGAAATATCTGAACATCCAGTGAGGTTCCAGCTTCTAGTCAACAACACTGTGCTAGATAGTCTGCTCACATTTTTATTTTTTCAACTTTTTACCTTGTTTCACACTTGTGCACATGTTATAATTCTTATATATAAATTTCCTCCTGTTAATAGCATGTTAAAGCTGGGTATAAAAGGATAACAATATATCATATAAATAATGCAAAGTACAATTATAATTAACAATGAAATAGCCAAAATGAAATAATAAAATAATGAAAGAATTACTAGATAAAGGAAAATATGTGAATTTAAGCAGCAATATAATTAATTCCACAAGAAAATAAAGTTTAATTATTTGTAAAGTAGTGTATTATAATCTTTATTATAAAATATAATAATGTAGATAAATTCTATTTTCTGAAATTTTTTTTAAAATGTACTCATATTACATTTCTGGTTTTAGCACGATAACTACCCTAATTAACTCTTTTTAATTGGCATGCTGTAGATCTTACCAGTAATGTCCATGATCAAATGTAAATTGTTGTGGTTATTGGCTCTGATTTTATTCGTGATCTGCCTCTTTTTCTTTTTGGTTAAAACAAAAAGGATTTTTGTCAAGAAATTTTATATTATCTTATCGATATTGATATCAATATCGTTATTTATCTGATATATTTTAAACCATCTGATATCAATATTGATATAGATATAGATATAGTCCCCAAAATTTTTTATCGTATTCAGGTTGTATTTATAATATTTTTAAGTTCACCGACTTTTGATTCCATAGTTAGATTTATGCATTACAGCCTTACTATGTAAACTTTATTTTGAAATTATGAAAACATGCTAAAAATATATTAATAAAATTCCTAATCATTCCCAAAAATAGCTATGCTTCTATAATTAGATGATACACTCTTATCGTTTACTAAATATAAGCCAAATATTATATTTTGTTAATTTTTTTTCATTTAGAGAGATGCTTTATGACACTATACAAAACTAACATGTCCTTATTATGCAACCACAATAGTTAGCAAGCAATCGAATTTTACAGCAAATTGATTATAACTCTATCTATAGTTGGTGGTAGAATTAATTTTACAAATTAATATGGTTACGGCACATGCCATATTTTTTGCCGTAATTGCTGTGAGCTGTAAAGCTGTAAAGCCA